GACATCGCCGAACGCATCGGCAACATACATTTGTATATAGATACCTATTATTAGTTTTCATATTTTTCGGTGCTGCGGATCCCCTGGGCAAACTTTGCGGATCCCCAGGGATCCGCGGATCACCGGTTGAAAACCACTGCTCTAGAGTCTAGTTTATCACTTCAGAATTAGCGGGTAGCTTTACGCCAAATTAAACAAGCAAAGAAACAAAATTATTCATCCTAATTCAAGAATGTTGACATTTCACTGCATGATTGGCTTTAGTTTATTATTATTAGACTTGTGGGTGTTTGAAGGTCTGATTTACTGTATAATTGCTGGAAATTTTCAAATGTGGACCTCAAAGAATACCTACAATTTTGAGTATATCAGAAAAGAAAAAGAGTCGACAAATTACTAAAGTAAAAGTCACGCGTATGATATCGTAATTTAAGATAGTGAATAATAATGGCTGGAGACGGCTTGAATGGGTAATGAAGAAAAACTTTAATAAAAGTTTAACATAACAGCAAATGTACAACGTTTCGACAAGGTTTTGTCATCATCAGGTAGATAGTGAATGCTCGTAACGCTACTGTTTGTGCTCTGGGTGCGAGATTTACCCAGAATTCGTGTTTTCATCGGTAACGTTAGTTAATAGTTTTATAAATTTAATTATAAATTAGGATAAACTTAAAGACACTGTTGAAATATTCTCTTCAGTTCAGTTAATACTTTTATTTCACGCTTATGCTAAATTATTCGAATCAGATTAAGTGAAAGTTTACCCAGAAAGGAACATGAATAGAGAAATTAAAAAAAAAGGATTTTCTTAAATTTTTAGGTAAGGCTAATGCTTCTTCTAAGCTTAGGCCTAACGTAAGGATAATAAAAAGGTGAGGGGTAAAGACCAAGAGTTTTTTGGGTTGAGGTGTAAGCATTTAGTATTAAATATAAAACTAAATCTACAACCTTAACTCTCTGACCACTTGATAATTATACTTTATAGAAAAAAAACAATTAAATAAATATCTCTTCCCTCACCATTTCAACTTTCCAAGATTTGACTTCGTACACTTTACAAACCCAGTAAGTGAGGCTAAAACTAAAGTATTCCATAATTATTGTATCTATGTTTTAATAAGTAGCAACCCTGATCTAATTTGTATTTTTCATTGACTGAATCTGTATGATCAGTGGGTTATAACAATTGCCAGTTAAAAACTTTTTAGATGCAACAGTAGGAATGATTATTCTATAAATATGTACACCTAACTTTTAAGGAAAATGTTATAGGTAGGATTGTCAAGAAATACAAGGTTGTTGAGTTTGTTCTTTGGACCACATCTTTTTTCTTTACTTTAACACCTTCAGAGCTTTCTCCTTTTTTCTTCTTGGCTGTGGTAGCCTTTGAATATCTTTTGGTTGTTGCTCAGAGGGCATAATTTATTTCCTGCCTTTATCACTGACAAAAAAACAACAGCAATGTTCTACCCCTAGAAACCCCCAGATTGTAACCCATATAAATTTAACTATTTTACTACCATTTTTCTCTTCAGTTCTAACAGACTGCAGTTTATCCCTTATATAATGACCCACATTTGAAAAGTTTATTACTGTTAACTAACTTATAACCTGGAATTTCAAATAATTCCTGTTATTAATGTTCTCCAAATCCAAACAAGTTTAACTGATTTCCATTATATCACAGTATTTCAATTCAGCTAGAACCTTGAACTTGTCCATATGTTTCCAATACTTATAATAATAGCAGTTAAGCTTATTCTTGGTAATCTGACAGACTTACTGTTAAAAATATAATTGAAAATGTCACGCTCTCTTATTTCCAAACTCCCCGTTACCCTAGCTATCCTATCAATGTGCATTTTATCTCACAACTACAGACCTAGAAATTAAGACATCAGGCCGATGGCATGGAAAGACAAATGGTACCATTAAGACAAGAACATTGCAAATGCAGTCAGAATCCTGAAGAGGTTCTTCTACAATGTATTTGATACACAATGAGGGTAGAAGGCAAGTGACCTCCCCAATGTAAAAAATTAAATGCTTACATTAGGTTTTTGTAGTGATTAAATAATTTTGATGAAATCATTAAATTATAGGTAGTTTTTCAAGTTAAACCTGAGGGTTAAACTTTGTTATAGTCTGACCATATGACCTGTGCATATAGATTTAGTTACAGACTTTTGTTTTTATCCAATTAACCATCTTTCAATCCAGTTAGTTTTTCTCTATTTCCTATTGATGTAGTTTTCTTAGTTAATCTTTTGTGTGACTATTTCTTAAAATTTTGTAAAAAAAATCTAGGTACACTTAAGTCCATACCTTTTTGTTGTCCAGGTAACAAATAACATCCTTAAAAAGAAGATAAACAGATTAGTAAGGTCAGATTTTTTTTGTGAATCCATGTTGGCTTTCATTCATGATATATCTCGTCAACATTTTAACTAAATATTGGTCAGAGACTGTTTTAAAAGCTAGTTGACTGGTAGACACAAAAGCCACTGGTCAGTTGAACTGGCTGTAAAACTTCAGTGAGAGCAAATGTGTATTAAGTCCATCTTAATTTCAAAAATGAACATTTAAAAAAAATGCTTAATTTACATTTTATTGTGTCACTTGATCTACATTTTACTGTGTCACTTGATCTACATTTTACTGTGTCACTATACATAATTATACTATATATATTATATATTATACTATATTTGTAAACTATACATAATTATAAGCAAGAATCTTAAGGTTGAACCTCCTAGCTTCTTGATTTGCTGAGATATTGATAAATTTGTTAAACCCACCAGAGACTGTCCCGAACATACAAAATGTTTTTACCTTAGCTTGTTTACCTTGTGTCCTCCATTCTTCTCATGTGTCGAGGAGAGAGAGGGAGCTGGCTCATATAAGTTCCCTCTCTGTGTCTTAAATGTCTTTGAAGATAGCCTTTAAAACACATTCACGCTGTTCACAGAAACTGTTTAAATTTGAGGATTATTCCATTCATCTACTACTGTGAGAGAAAAAGAACATCCTTAAATCCCATCTGGAGCTCTGCTTGTTTATTCTATACTGGCGGCCTCTAGTTATAGAATTATTAACTATAAAGAAATCCACAGCATTTAACACTTTGAGGCCTTTAAAAGTTTTAAAGACCTCAATTAAATTACTCTTTAACTGATGGGTTTCAAGTTTAGTGAGGTTTACTTACTTTCATAAGAAAGAGTATGATCACCTGTTAATATCTTAGATAATAGAAACCCACCTTCTATTCAGACTGATTCAGAAAAAGGCTTTAGAAACTCACCTTGTACTCAGACTGATTCAGTAAAGGCTTTAGAAACTCAACTTGTACTGAATCAGTCTGAGCTGAATCAGTCTGAGTACAAGGTGAATTTCTAAAACCTTTATGAGTACAAGGTGAGTTTCTAAAACCTTTCTGAGTACAAGGTGAATTTCTAAAACCTTTTCTGAATAACTCACCTTTTCTGAATCAGTTACAGGGTGAGTTTCTAAACTGAATCAGTCTGAGTAAAGGATTTAGAAATTCACAGGCAGATTTGTAGGAAAAATACTTTAAAAAATTGACTTTTTGTACACAACACACTTGTAAGTTGTAATGTTTACTAAAAGCTTGCCAAATGTTTTAAAGACATAGCGTAAACATACAGTGAACAGATGATTTGTTCCACATATAATTTATTTCTTCATAAATAAATGTATATTTATTTGTTTATGAAGAGGTTAAGATAGAACAGGAGTCAGGCAATGACCATTTTTCTTTATGTGGTGACTGGTTATTATACATAGTAATTGATCAACAATAGTGTGACCAACAGGGGTTTTTTCCTAGTAGAAAGACTGATTGTACTTTTTGTATTTCGTATAAAATTAAGATATAATGTGTGCTATTATGAGTCCGCACCAGGACCATAGAAAACCTGGTTCCGGGCCTGAATATAGTGGTCAGCCTATAGAATAGTTTACCTTCATATTTGATAAAAGCTGTAATGATGAAGGAAGGAGATTGGATGAGTGTTTTAAAGAGATTGATGTTGGTTATCAGAAAAGGGTTTTTTTTTAAATGTAGCTAGGATTAGAATGTTTGTAGAAAATTGGATAACTTAGATTGAGCAAGTGGCCCCCTGTTATTTATTGGAAGTGACATATGTTATTAAAAATATGCTTTTATTTTAAAAAACTTGTAATAAGTGAAAAATGAATTAGAAAATTTTTCATTGTGAAGTTAATAGTCATAGATTTTGCTTTAATGAAAACTTTTTTTTTTCAGCAAGAAGAATTACTGTGTGACCTTGCATAAGACTAACAATGAGTGACAACCAATCATCTTCAAGTGGTAGCTCAGAGGGTCAAAATGTCCCTCCACAGAGGGGGCTACATGCCGTGATTGTAAGTTGAAATCTTTCAGGCGATTACATTCTGATTATGTAATAATGTTGATAGATATATTTTCTGTTTGGTGTGAATGTTTATTGTAAAAGGAGTAAAAATTGTATATGTACATTAACTTCCTTCAAGTCTGAGAATCAAATTATAGCAACACTTTGTTTAACAGGAACACATGGCCTCTAATAAAGTCAGTGCTTCGTTGTGGATGACTAGAATGGCCACTTTGCTCTTAACCTTCTGTTATTTGATACCAATATTTGGGTAAGTGAGAATATATAATATTAAGAAAAAAATAGGGTAAGTACTATAAAACAGCCTTTACCTATAAAAGTACTGTTTAATTAAATTCTACCTTTGATAAGACAGAGTTTGAATACTTTATATTGAAATTATTTCGAAGCCTCACCATGTCATTACAGTCAACATTGCCATGTCTGGTCGTGCTCTGATGACTGTGCATTTTAAGGTTGTGTCCATTACTAAAGGCTCCACATTCAGGTTGTCATACCAAAAATACACCACTCCTCCCTGCATGCTTTCCATAATAAATCTAGCGTATAAGGATGAGAGTTTTCTATTGGCTATTTTAAGAATCTGGTTCTATAATAAAGGAAATGTGACTGTATTTTACCAAATACTAGTCGACTAAAACACAGCCAAGACAAGTTACTTTGCACAGACCAAAAGTCAGTTTTATGTTATTTGATACGTTAACATGAGTGCACATGAGCTGTGTCATTGTAACTTCTGTATTGTTAGCCAGGCACAGCTGAAAGGTCAATATAATAAATATATATAA